TAAAAAATAAGATAGGTAGGCTATTATCACCCCTCTTCTTCCTATGAGGCAACTGAGGCCCAGAGAGGTTAACTAACTTGCCCTAGGTCACAGAGCCAGTAAATGTTAGAGCTATGAATCACATTTAGGTAGGCTGATTCTAGAACACAGGGCTTAAAAATTACTAAGCTGCCCTTCTATAACTAAACATGATAGCTATAATAAATAATAAAATCAATACACTGAAGACTGGGGCTAATATATCCAAAAAATTAGAAACGTGTATATATCTGCTCTTAGGATACTTTCTGAAGTTACTTTCCTTCCTTGGTTTTTATAAGATCAAAGTAGCTTCTCAAGCCACTTTTCAGTATTACTGAGTCCCCTTTCTTTCAAGACTTAGCTTTTGCGGTAGGAGGAGAAAACCTAAATTATCATTTATACTCAAATCAGACTGCCTAAAGAGATTACATGAATCCTAGTTAAAAATAGCTTTTTTTTTTAAATCCTGCTAAAAAACAAAAACAACCTACAGCAGCTCATAAGAATCAGCCAGCATCAGACTTAAATGTTTTATCTTTATTCAAAAGTGTAATACCTTTTTTCTTTTATTATGTTATGTTAATCACCATACATTACATCAGTAGTTTTTGATGTAGGGTTCCATGATTCATTGTTTGCGTATAACACCCCGTGCTCTATTCAATACGTGCCCTCTTTAATAACCATCACCAGGCTAACCCATCCCCCCATCCCCTCCCCTCTAGAACCCTCAGTTTGTTTCTCAGAGTCCACAGTCTCTCATGGTTCGTCTCCCCCTCCAATGTCCTCCCCTTCATTTTTCCCTTCCTACTATCTTCTTTTTTTTAACAAAAATCACATTTCCCTTTTTCCTTGCCAGGGGGAACAAAGGACATCGGTTTAGCAGAGATAGTGAATGCAGAGGTCACGAAAATGCCCGCGTGCCAAACGGAAACAGTAGGAAAAGCATTTAATATTACAAAGCCAAAATTTCCCTGCGCTTTGGCTATAAAAATTAGGCTTGTTTGGCAATAAGGGTAATTTTGCAGGCAGTGGTAGGGTGAGGGCTTTTACCAGAGTCCCCCAAGCTGTCCTGCCTCCAGGGGTCATGCTCTCTCACCTTTAGTGTCTAGTCCAAGCTTCTAGTTGTCCAAGCTGTCTAGTGACTGTCCAGGACATGACAGTCTTTAATAGGGCTTCCCAACTTCGTATTTCCAAGAATGTCTGAGAAACTCCCGTTCCACAAATCCAGCCTGGTGGATGCTGCCCCTTCTACCTGCCTAATTACTCCTGACACTCCACACTTGTTGGCAGCTCTTACCATCTTCTAACTGCTTCTGTAGGTCTGCACTGTCTCCTCGCCAAGCTTGAACATTGACTCTCACCTCTTAAATTACTCGTGACACATGGCAGACCCAGACTGAGCACTTTTATAAATTCTACTACCTGAAACACAGGAAGAGCAGAAAAGAGGAACTTCCAGTGGTTTAAGAGCAGTGTTTCCCAAAGGTGGAATGTGCACTTGAATTACCGGGGGCTCTTTTGAAACGCAGGGTCTCATTCAGGAGGGCTGGGGTGGGGCCTGAGAGGCCACACTGCTTACTAGTTCCCAGGTGATGCTCATGCTGTTGGTTCATGGATCATGCTCTGAGTAGCAGGACTTGGAGGATTTCACAGCTCCTAGGAAATCCGCTCTGGTTTTCTCTCCCACTGCAGGTGTTTGGGGGCAGCTCACCTACCTCCCTGAGATTATCTTTAGCCCCATCTGCCTTACCCGGGAGAAACAGGCTTCTCTTCCTTTTACCTTTTCTGCTTGCCAGTTCCCTCTTAATCCCTTAATGATTCCATGTCCCTTATACAGTAGTCCCACGTTGTGCAAGGGGGATAGATTCAAAGACCTCCAGTGGATGCCTGAAACCGCCAATAGTACCAAACCCTATACAGATGACCCTGAACAACGTGGGAGTTAGGGCATCAACCCCCCAGTGTAGTCAAAAATCTACATATACCTTTTGACTCCTCAATACCTAATTATTGATAGTCTACTGTTGCCCAGAAGCCTTACCAATAACAAACATTATATGTATTATATACTGTATTCTTACAATAAAGTAAGCTAGAAAAAAGAAATGCTATTAATAAAATCATAAGGAAGAGAAAATACATTTTACTGCACTGTAAAAAATCCATATATAAGTGAACCCACGCAGTTCAAACCTGTGTTGTTCGAGGGTCAAGAGTATATACTATGTTTTTTCATATGCATACAGATCTATGAGGAAGTTTATTTTATTTAAGATTTTATTTATTTATTTATTTATTTGAGAGACGGAAAATGAGAGAGAGCATGAGACGGGAGGGTCAGAGAGAGAAGCAGACTCCCTTCTGAGCAGGGAGCCCAATGCGGGACTCGATCCCGGGACTCCAGGATCATGACCTGAGCCGAAGGCAGTTGCTTAACCAACTGAGCCACCCAGGTGCCCCGAGGAAGTTTATTTTATATACTAGGCACAGTAAGAGATTATCAACAGTAATAATAAAATTATAATAAAAAATTATATTAATTATAAAATTATAATAATTATAAAAATTTATAATAATTTATAAAAATTATAAAAATTATAAAATTATAATAATATACTGTAATAAACATTATATGAATATGGCCTCTCTCGGAATATCTTGACCTGTACTCACCCTTCTTCTTGGGATGATGCGAGATGATAAAATGCCTCCATGATGGGATGACGTGAGGTGAAGGACACAGGAACTGTGACATAGCGTTAGGCAACAGCTGCCCTGATGATTCGTTGGAAGGAGGATCATCTGCTTCCAGACTGCAGCTGACTATCGGTAACAAATCATGGAAAGTGAAGTCACAGATACGGGGGACCTACTGTGCATCTTTGTCTGCCTTCCTCTCTGCCCCCCACATAAAAGAAAAGCATTTTTACGTTACTATACAGAGTAGTTTAGCTCTTTGTGGTCTCAACCTTTCTATTCAGAACAGAATCTGGACACGACTTGGGCGAATAACCAGAAGGCCCAAAAAGAGGAATGGTTTTCATCCAAATCTGAATTCTGAACCATTTATGCTGAATGGCAGTTTCCCGCCACCTTCACTGCTGGACATTTAGAATATGACTACATGTGTCACATGTTAGAGCTTATAGTTATAGATGAGTTTACAGACAGAGAAAGAGAGGTGACCAGATAGTAGTCATTGGAGTGAGGACGAAATATCAAGTCTTGAGACAGCCAGCCTCCTGGTTTGGTTTGGTTGTTTATTTTTTTTAACCTGTTACTTTAATCCATATGGCTTCACAGTGGCTCTAAATAAGCATGATATAAGCAATGCAACATAAGCAAAAATAAGCAGTTATATAAGCATTGTGGCCCATTGCTCATATCTAAATAACATCATCTCTTCTCTTAAAAATCAACTAGGATTTTTTTAATTAAGGCTGAAAGACGAGAATATAAATAAAGCCCTGATCTAACTTATAGCAGTTAACCAACAGTAAGAGATTTAATCACATTGGCTAGATATGGGGCATAATAGAGCAGGCTAGGTTGTGCTAGGTAACAAATTAACCCTGAAATTTCTGTGGCTTAATACAAGAAAGGTTTTTTTCTTACTCGTGCTGCATGCCCAGCATGTTGGGTCTGGAGGAGTGGGTGCTGATAGCCACTGCACTCAGATACCAGGCTGATTACCACCAGGTAACTAAGCCATCTGGAATACACAACCTTCTCAGTCACCATGCAGGGAAAGTGGGACTGGAGAATCAGGAATGGGCTTCTCCTTGCCTCAGCCTGCAAGGTACACATGTCACTTCTGCTCATGTGTCATTGCCAAAACTAGCCACATGGCCCCAGGAAACAGCAAGGGAGCAGGGAAATATGGGAGAGAAGAGTTGAGCCCTGAAAATCCCTAGCATACAGGACACAAGGTGAAAACCACAGGGGTTCACTTACTAACCACTTATCTCCCCTTAGTGATTTGTTTAAGGGACTCACAGTCCCTAAGGGGACCTTCAAGAGGAGTATTATCTACCATATTGTTCTCACACTTTCTCTTGACTTTCCTGTGCAAAAGAAAAATTTTTTTAAATGAATGGTTTCCACCTTATTGTCAGTTCACTCAATTCAAATCATAAGTAAATCAAATTACAAATCAAATCAGACTGAGCAACCAAAGCCCAGGATTGAAGTCAGGCTGTCTAGGTTTAAATCCTGAATGACCTCTCACTGGCTATATGACCTTGGGGAAATCACTTAACTTCTCTGGGCCTCAGTTTCCTCATCCAGAAATGGGTATACTAATCATACCTACCCCAGTGACACATAAGAATTAACTAGAACAGTGATTAGATCAGTGTTTGATATATTATAAGGATTTAATGAATATCAGCTATTATTGTTATATCTGCATAACTTGAAATTCTCTAATTTAATAGACTTTTACTGGGTACCAACAGAGTACACCAGAAATGCTGTGATAGTCAAGACCAATTATATCCTTACATTTACAGAGTTTATAGGCAAGATAAACAAGGAGACATAAAGTGGGAGAGTGCTATTTTAGGGGAAATAACTCAGAGTTACTCAGAACCTTTCTGAATCTCTTTCCTCATGCTTGAAATGAGACTGTATCTTCCTCACAGCATTGTTGTGAAGAGTAAATGAAATCATGTCCATGTAACTTCAAGAGGAGAAACTAATAAGAGAAAGTGTGTGTGTGTGTGTGTATGTGTGAGAGAGAGAGAGAGAGAGAGATCATCTCTGTGAACCATGCAAGAGAAAGCTTTGGCCTTGGCAGCATTCCAATTTGTTCCACTCAGGATTCTCGAAATAGTATTAGCATGATTAACTTATTGTTCACTAGGGAATATGAAAGGGTTTTTAAATTAATTCTCATATGCTTCCTTTAAACTGCGCAAGCAGACTGTGTGACATTCTGAGTCATTTTAGCGGCTGCTTTGTGACAGAGGTCTGAGTTTGGCCTGCAGGATTTATCCATATCCAGTTTTGGAGGGTTTCTCAAAGTGTTCCTAATTGATTCTGTTTTCTAACCATTTTCCTAGGGAGAACCTCTTACTAAAGGTGAAAAGGGAGATAGAGTAAGTAGATGTTTTATCACTATCTTGGGTTTTCTACTTCATTGATTTCTATCTCTCTGATTTCTCAAATGTTTACTTTGGAGTCTAATAGATTTGATAAAATAAGCTCTCTGAGCATTTTACTTTTTCCTCTGTGAATTTTGACTCTTTTATTTTAATAAATGAGAAATTAATAAACCTTGTTAAGTTTCGTCCCATGTGATGACACTTTACCATTCGGCTTGGGTATTATATATTTCTTTAACCATTACTATTTGTGATTGGACATGAATGTTTTGAAAGATGTACACTTAAGATATCTAAAATACAAAATTAAAATGCAAGATACAGTTTTTTCAAAAACTCTGTTAATGATGCAGGTTAAATTTATCAAACAGGATGATTTTATCAAAAGGATCAATAATAAGTCATGGAAATAAGAAAAGCAAACTCATAATAGCCAATATTGTCCTCTTTTGGGTAACCTTAATTTTTTGTTGTTGTTGTTGTTCATTAAGTACATATACCCAATGGTAGAATCACCAGAACATTAACTTAGATTTTACTCTTTCTTTTCCCCCTTCATCTGAGGTTTTAATCCTCTGAGATATAAGATTAGTTGGTGGCAAGTCACGAAAATGTCAGCTAAGTGGAGAATGCAGTGATTGCTAATGAACTATGATGATTATAGAGTCAAAGTGATACTGGGGGGAAAAAACTGTTATAAAGAAGAAAGAAACCCTGAAACCAACACTACACTATACGTTAACTAACTTGAATTTAATTTAAATTAAATAAATAAATAAATGAAGAAAGAAAATGAGTTATTGTTTACATATTAGCAATAAGTATTTTAAATCATGTTTTAGAATGACCTCTCCTTGACTTCATCATGTCATCCGTAATTCCCCCATATTACGTTAATTAGTAGAAATGCAGATGAATTCAAGTATTAGAGATGCTCATCCCATCTGAGTTTAAGCATTACATAAATGGTAATTTTTTTTTTTACAGGGAGAACCTGGGCTAATGGGATCACAGGGAATAAAGGTAATCTCCTGACCTTCTTATTGCATCTCCAATCCAATGAGATTGTGAAGATTAAAGTAACCATTTCACTTACCTTCCCACCCATGTGTTCAGGGTGAACCTGGAGATCCTGGTCCCCCCGGTTTAATAGGAAGCCCAGGACTAAAGGTATATAAGAAATAACTGAGATAAAAGAAGAAATAATTTTGGAGTTATAGCCATTTCCGTGTAAAACAAATGGCTCTGATGTGCCACTCGTTTTCTTCACAAAAGTTCTCAGAGACTTTATCATGTTTCCATGGTGATTTCCCCCCATTGGCTGCATTTATTACACTCATAGTAATTGTGCCTTTTGGTTCACAGTCGGGTTTTTAAACTCTTCTTCAGAGCATATTCACAATAACATCCCTAAAAGGTTTAGAGTAAACAATGTGAGCAAAACCTATTACCCTGAGCTATATACTTAAAGTGAATGGGATTCAAGATTCAATCTCTTAGCCAAATTTATGCAGTTGCTTGAGTTCGCCATGTGGGATTCCACAGGAATGTCCCAAGAAAGACCAGCCATGGGGAGGTGTGGGAAAGACTAATGTGATGCGCTCCCACCCATGGGTAAGGCAGGTTATCCTGGCCTCCCTTGCTGGTGGGAAAAGACCCATTTAAATGAGAACATCTCCAAACTATCTTTGTAAGCCCAAAGCACATTTCAGAATTATTCAGAGAAGGTAGGATGATAGAAAGCCTGTCTTTCTCTGTAAAAATCATACCATGTTTTACATATATTCAGCTACAATCTTTTTTTTAATAGAGTTGAAGGACATTTCACCCTCTCTTTTAGGGTCAACAAGGACCTGCAGGCTCTATGGGACCTAGAGGACCACCAGGAGATATTGTATGTATAGCAAGTACAAGTGTCTTCGATATGTGGAAATTAAATTAGTGTCTTAAAGAATGTCCACATCTTTTCATGTGACTGAGTTATACTACATTTTCCCAAGACATAGGTCATCTCTACTACCAAAACTGATCACCCCTGATGTCAGGGGTTATTAGGAAGGCTAGTAATTTCCTATATTCATATGAGGTCCTTTGGAATATCATTAGCCTAATAAATCAGTCTTTGGAAGTCAAGTTAACTAAGTTATCACTTTGGACGTGCTTGTCAGTGGTGTTCCACCAGGAAGAGAGACTGGAAACATCAAAAGAAATGAGGAAAACTAAGATAGGATGCAAGCATTTTCATTATGCATGGCTTTGGTTTAATTCTCCATCCAAAAAAGACACTTCTTAAGTTTCTATTGTTGTTTTCTTGCAAGAGTCTCAAAAAAAAAAAAAAGCAAGTCTTTTGGCTGAAAATATTTCTCTAATGCCATTGGAGAAGAGTCCTCAGGTTGCATAACCTAATTCTAGTGGTCCCATTATTCTTTCTGTCTCGGTCTGTCTCTCTCTTTCGCTCTCTCTCTCATGTCCTTTAAATGCACTTTTCTATCCATTCCCCCAGCTAAGTCTTTTGTTCCTTCAACAACTGCCCTAGCCTGGCCTTCCACAATTTGGAAGTTAAGACTCACCATCATCCTCACTTGAGCAAAATAAGAGAAATGTCTGGCCATAACTTCTTGGAAACTGATCCCTATCTGGCCACAATTCCAGCACTTTCTATGCAACTATTAGAATCTCTCCTTTTCTCATCATCTTGAGAACAGCCCCATGACCTCCTGCTGTATCCTCCAAGCTTCCTGACTGAGCCTCCACAGGTCTCTTTTTCAGAGCACTTGTTCTGCTTCGTACTTTGAACACTCAGGTTGTGAGCAAAGCTTTTTTTGCTCCCCCCAAAGCCATCTAATGAGCCAGGTGAGTGTACCTAGTGGAGAGATCTTATGGAAAGGGAGAAAATTCTGGTGGCACAGGTGGAGACATAAGTTACCCAAGAAGTGAGATTAAATGATAGTGGCTGGAGCTGAGAAAGAGAATAAAATCAAAAGGGAAAGAGCAACTGTTGCCAAACACAGTAAAATTATGTTTTCCTATTTAGCCCATCATCCTTCTATATCATGATAGAACCATGATATACCAACCACCATCCTTCCACTTTCCATCCAATAACATGGATGGGGGAGCCTAGGTGGCTCAGATGGTTAAGCGTCTGCCTTCGGCTCAGGTCATGATCCCAGGGTCCTGGGATCGAGTCCCACATCGGGCTCCCTGCTCCTTGGGAGCCTGCTTCTCCCTCTGCCTCTCTCTCTCTCTCTCTCTCTCTCTGTCTCTCATGAATAAGTAAATAAAATCTTTTAAAAAGATAACATGGATAGGGCATTTGGTTCAATTCTCCCTTATTTGGTTTATTTTCCATTACATCGAGGTCACTTCACTTGAAACAACAAGCCACATATTTTCACTAATGCATTTTCCTCTCTAACAGGCCAAAATCAGCCCATCCCTTCATACTTTGTGTGTTACAATTCTGTTCTCCTGACAAAGACTCACAGGTAGAAATGTTCTTATAATAAGAGATACTCTAATTTTTCTTTCCCATTAATTCTGAATTTTCTAGGGATTGCCAGGAGAACATGGTATCCCGGGAAAACAAGGCATTAAAGGAGAAAAGGTAGAGCTTCCATTTTATCCATTTTGTAAATTAAGTAATTCAGTAGGAGGAAGAGACAGAGGATCATAAGGGCTTTGGGGGAGTGAAGGGATAGGACAAAGCTGCCAGGACTGTGCAGGGGATAGACAGCCACAGAAACGATGGCATGAATTGTGCCCCCTGGAGTTCTGCATTGGGACAGCCCTCATTCTGACACAGAAACACAATGTAACAAAATGAACTGACTTAAAGATGAAGACCTCAGGAATCAGAAACTCTGTTTCAAGCTCAGCGGCCGACTCTGGAGTAGCTCTAGGAAGTCTCCATCTTTTAGGACCTTTTTCCTGTTGTCTACATGGAAATAGTATATTAATGTTGAACCTTCACTTAGAAATAACTTAAAGAAAACATAAAGATCATTGAAAGAACTTCTGAATAGATGCCCTTTTATGCACATATCCATGTACATGCATATGGCATGATACTGCTAAACTTATTGTCACATAACTCACCACAAAATGTAAATGCATTTAAGATAACTGGAACAGTGCTTGGCATAAATCAGGCCCTCTGTACATATTGTTGAACAAGTGAATGAACGAGAAAATGAAGTTTGGTTATGATGACAACTCAAAGCAATGGAAACTGCCTCCACAACTCCCACCACAAACCTGAGCAATGATGTAAGAATCTTTCCTTGTCTTCCTCAGGGATCTCCAGGTGGGACTGTAGGCCCTCCTGGGCTTCCTGGTCCAAAAGGTGAGGCTGGTCCTCCAGGGAAAAGCCTGCCAGGGGAACCGGTAAGTACCAGCCCTTTTCCTAATATCTCCCTTGAAAGTTCATTAATTACCACTTGTGTGTTCCCAGTTTCAGATCACAAGTATAGGAATCAATTGAGATCTGCAGAAAAAGAAATATTCATCTCGTTCTTTAGGTCAGAGCTCTAACCTCTTTGGAAATTTGATGCAGGTGAAGGGCTCTTTTCTGAAAATAAAATGCACATACCTATTTTACATACAGTTTTGAAAGATTCATAGGCCCCCCTATGAATCTTCTGCATGAATTCTTTAGGGATCCAAGGAGCTAGTAAGATACACTAGTTTAAATCGTAAGCCTTCCTAGGACGCTATGTTAAAACAGAAGAACTGTCTGAAATTTTCCTTCCAGGGGCTCTGCAGGGATGGCCATTCATGGTCATTTGCAGAAAATGTCCTTGTGGCTGGGCAATTTCCAGGACATAGAAAAATTGAATAGCTGGAAAATCTAAATAACCAATATGCCTATTTCACATACTTTTTTTTTTCTCATCCTCTTTGACTTTTTATATTAAGTGTTGATAATAAATAGTTCTCAGTATCAGATGCCTCATTTTAAAGACAAAAACATCTTTTTTATTATTAAGTTTTTTATTTTAATTCCAGTACAGTGTTATATTAATTTCAAGTGTATAATATAGTGATTCAACAATTCCATATATCACTCAGTGCTCATCAAGATAAGTGTACTCTTAATCCCCTTCACCTATTTCATCCATCCCGCACCCACCTCCCCTAAAAATGAAAACACCTTGTATTTTAAAGTAACTATACAAAATCTATAACCTAGCAAAATATGTATTCCCTGTTTCTTATTTTTTTTTACAGAAAAGGGTTTATTCAAGAAGGATGAAGCACCATGAACCATTTTTGAGCTATAATTTCTAAGATGCTTTTAACCTTTTTAGAAAAAGAAATGTATTTACCTCGATTTTTTTATTTTAGGGATTAGATGGAAATCCTGGAGCACCTGGTCCTCGTGGGCCAAAGGTATGAAAATATCATAGATAATTTCTAAAGAATTAATAAGAAAATACAGCCTGGAATTTCATGAGCCTCACACTAACGGAAGCCTCTGGTTGCACAGGGCGAGCGAGGACTGCCGGGCATCCACGGTTCCCCAGGTGACAGAGGCCCACCGGGGGTGGGAGTTCCTGGCCGAACAGTAAGTGAAATTCCATCAAGCTTTTGAACCTGGTCAGTTCCAATAATCAAATAAAATCCAGTGACAAACTTGAATCAGGAGAAAGGAATGAAATGGTCAGAGGAGGAAATATAAATAAACACTAGTCAGAGGGAGAGAATTGATGAGCATTGAGGTTACATAGCTGAGCACAGGGATGGTGCTGTTTACTGACGTACAGATGCTGGTCTCCTGTACACTGATTTGGGATTAGAAGCAGTTATTTAACCCTTTGTTCCTCCATTCTACATATTAAAAAGTACAAATGCATGTTTGTAAGATGATACAAGTGCCTAAGATTAGGATTTATATATTACTGTTTGTTTTTAGTGAGAATAAAATTAAAAGTTAATATTTAAAGTGAATGGAGCATGTATAAATGAGATGATGTCAAAAATCTCTTAATTAATATATTCAGGAAGAGAGAATAGAAGTCGTTTATAATAGGGAAGACAGAGAATGGGCAGTTTTTTAATGTGTTTTAGCTACAAGGACAGTGCCTGATGATAATGACCTCTGTACGCATACTTGTTGACTAAGTAGTAATAAGAACTCTTTATTTACTATGAAAAAAATCTAAAAGATTCTGGAACAAGAAAAGTGGAAATAAACCCTAATTCTAATGGCATTAATTTGGGAAATTGGCCTTGTAATGAAATTATCATGAGAGCTAAAAGAAGGCATAGTGAATGGTTACGTTGTGTGTGATTGATTCTCCGGGGCAAGAATATAAAAGACCACTGGCGATGGGAGATTAAACACAGTAACAAAACAGATCGGGAAATTATTAAAGGACTGAAGGAGGCTGAAGCAAAAAATTAAAAAAATATATTAATAACTAAGGACACAGTATAAATAGAAAGGGTACAAAAAGTAGCTTTGACAGTAACAGTGATATGAATATTTATTTTTAAAAACAAGAAAGGAAATGTGGGTGAGCAGCTACTGAAGTCAGCTGCTGAGAACCCCGCTATTTACTTACCTAGGTTGTCAACTCCTCCTTCCATGATCTGTGCTTATGTAGTAGGGAGGGAGCTCTCGTCATTAGGTTCACTGATCACTGCCCAGCCTCATGTGGCTTCCCCCAAATTCCAATTTACTAACGTAGAAAAATATGGCGATGGATGCTTTACTGCCTACTCCTGTCCCTGAACACTGGTTCTGGCGATTTCTTCAAACGGAGAAATGACTTGAAGTAGAAAGCAGAAAAGAAAGCGAGTCCTGAGCCAGTCAGCCTATCAGCAGCCAGTTTCTGAACAGATAGAATGTGGGTGCACCGTGTGGTCGTGAAGGTACAGGGACAGATGATGGTACCAAGAGAGATCGCCTAGGGCATCTGAGCAAAATCCTTCCGACGGCTCCCGCAAAAGGCATCTGCTTAAGTATTTACCTGCCATCCAGAAGTCTTAGCCAACTTCACAGGGAGTTTTCAGGGGGTGCAAGGTGGCAAGCCCTGTTGTTCCACTAAGTAAATTACAATACATAGCTCTTTATCCCCGTGGATAATTTATGGACATTCCTGGAAGAATTCTGATAATTGGATCTCATTCTGCTCAGGGCTCCCAAGGACCCGCTGGAGAGCCGGGTATTCAGGTAAGCTACGTAACCAAGTTATTTGGCACAACAAATCCAGCTTGCTTACTTGGAGGAAATTACTGAAAAACTGTCCTCATAAATACCTATTCCCCCTGCTTTCCAGGGTCCTCGAGGTCTCCCTGGATTGCCAGGGACTCCAGGGACCCCAGGGAATGATGTAAGGACCATCTTTACCTCCTCTTCCCCACCAGCCTATTTGAATCTACTCCTGTGCTACCATGCAAAGCTTTGAACACGATGATTCTGTTTTCAGGGAGCTCCAGGGAGGGATGGAAAGCCAGGTCTGCCAGGCCCCCCAGGTGACCCGGTAAGTCAACAGACTATGCCCACCTGACGTAGGTATCTTTAATGCACCCAGCAGCCGAACAGCCTACCAAGCAACCTTTACTGTCCAAACTAATTAGAATGCTCAGTGACTGCTTGGTGATTTGGGGAAAAAAATTCAAGCTGCATTGGCATTTTGTGTGTGTGTGTGATGAATACTTATTTCCTAAGGGTCTAATTCAGCTATACAATTTTGCCCCAGGCTGAGCCTTGGCACATAATGTCTCAACCCCATAGAAAATTGAGTTAAAATATATAGCCACAGCTTTTGTTCTTTCTAATGCTACCGACTAAATGAATTTTATTTTTCTAAATGAAAGTTTGCAGGTAAGTTACCTACAATATGGTACATAGCCATTGATTCTGTGGCTTTAAGACGCTGAGATGATTAAATTATAAAAACCGGCTTGAGTAGGCGCTTAAAAAATGGGTTTAGGCGCTAAATGTGTGTTCCAAAGTTTTATTTCAGGATGAACCTGGCTTTGAGCGACAGAGAAATCCCTTTAAATAGCCTCAGAATCGGCGGTTACAATTTGAGCGGCCATATGGTACATGACATTGTATTAAGAGTTTTGTATGATAAAATCCAAATCTGGCCTCTCGGTTCTAAGTCTCACAAATCCTTCTCCCTCCCACACTGGTTGGGCCTTATGTGCCTTTTATAAGCTACGTGCAGAGGCATATTTTGGCCTTACTTTAACTCCACTGCCGAGTGAATCATGTGTGTGTATCATCTAGGATTCTTATAAAGTGTTACTTGGGTTTGCAGCGTCTCTCCGAAAGGACAATTTAAGACACGAGGCCCAAACGCTGCCTGAGTTCCTTCAGTGTCTCTCTTGCAAATCACGGAAGCCACCTGTTGGCTCTTTTGAACTCCAGTGAGAAAGAACTTTCAGACAAACTTGTTCTAGACTTTTCTTATTTCTCAACAGCCTGATAATTTGTTTGGCAGAGTGGTGACTTCCTTTTAATAAATGATTTACCTTTATGTATTATTTAAAGCCAAGAATATACGAAGGTTGGCATAAAAGTTGCCATGTCATGAAAATATAAAATAGAGATGCAGGACTCCAAACCACAATATGGGTGTCTTTACATGTTCATCGCAGAGGAATAGTGAATACTTCTCAAAGTTATGAATCCTGTCAGTGTCATATGCCTATTTTGTGATCTGAAATATAAAGCCAGCCATTCTGACAGTGAGGCTCTTAGAAGCCCCATGACAAATCTCAGTTGGCATGACGCTTTGAGGAAAAACATGTACAATATATCGTATGTTTGTATTGTATTATGTGCATGTATGTGCATAAATACATGTATTCAGGTTTTTTCTCCTTCAATGCAGATTGCACTTCCTCTCTTGGGAGACATCGGTGTCTTGCTTAAGGTACTCTGTTGCTATGTAAGAAATTTACATGTTAATTTTTAGGAAAAAGGAGAAAGGAAGTCTTTATCAGAAATTGAATTAATTGCTTAGCCTGGGCTAAAATTCAATTTTTTAAAAGGCAGAACATCTTTAAGATAGAAAAAGGAACACATATTTTTATGTATCTTGGGCCACTTGTACTAATCCCTCCACTCTCCTCTTCTTTACCTCCCTGTCAGTTTGGGTGTGAGGGGTGGTGGGTGAAGGTGGTAGTTCTGAGATGAGCTACATGGGAAGGAGCAGTGCCATCAACACCCTTGAGTAGACCATTCTCTTCTCTGGAGGGATGGCTTTCACCTCATGGGTGTTTGGCCGCCCTGGCTCACTACTATGAAACCTAATCCTTCTTACTTGGACCTACCCTCACCAGTCCCAGGATGAAAACCGGTGCTGCTCAATAAACAGCTAGCTTGCAGGGCTGAACTTTGATGTCATGGGATTTTACAGAGTGAGTTATAGAATTCCAAAGCCAACAATTGCCCTAACACCTGTTACTCTGTTAAATAAAAGCTATCTCTACCTATTATTCATCTCATAAGGAATAAATCTTGCTACCATTTTTGCCTCTAATACTACCCTGTGTTTTATTTGTAATACAGATGGGGAGAATGATAATGGATACCTGTAAGGTTATGTATTTGTAATATTTTTTCATGGCACGCTAAGATCGCGTGAACCCAGATGAAAATCGCTCCCTTCACATTATACTCAAACCTTCTGTGTCCCATCTATCTATATATGAATGGACAGTGTATATGAGCATACAGGTGCACACGCACGCACACACAAACTTAGGCTATATGTGTATACATGCGATTTATTTTATATTCCTAGCATTTAGCCCAGTGGTTTGTACAATGACTTACATAATAGTAGGCAGGCAGGAATATTTGTTGATTTAAATTCAAAGACTCAAGAATTCTGGTATAAGTATTTGCTAGATGATTAAAAATTTGAGAATATTGGGTGCCTGGGTGGCTCAGTTGGTTAAGCGACTGCCTTCGGCTCAGGTCATGATCCCGGAGTCACGGGATCGAGTCCCACGTCAGGCTCCCTGCTCGGCAGGGAGTCTGCTTCTCCCTCTGACCCTCCTCCCTCTCATGTTCTCTGTCTCTCATTCTCTCTCTCGCAAATAAATAAAATCTTAAAAAAAAATTTGAGAATATATATAAATATCAATATAAATATGAGTATCAATATAAAAATAAATTACAGGAGGTTTTTAAGACCTTCAGACCTTCAAAAGTCAACATTTTCTTATAAGTCAAAAAAGAGTGTTTATGGGGATTTTAGGAAGACCTTATATTCGTTGAGTTACAGTTACATGGCAGGCAGTACACTGCTTTACTTACAGCATCTCACTTAATCTTCACAGAAATTCTATAAATGTAGACTGTGGGAGTATCCCCATTTTATACATTAGAAACTGACGTTCTGAGCAGCTAAGTAACTTCCTCAGAGTCACACAGCTAGAAAGCACAACATTAACCCAGGAACACAGGTCCTCACGCGTCGTCTTCGGTTCTTCACAAGGGCAGTTAATGCTGGAAATCATAGGCCTCTTAAGAGTTAAACCTAATCATTCCAGAAGAGTTAGGATCAAAACTTGCACCCTTCGGCAGAAATGAATATCCTGATAGAATATAGGGCGGCTCACAGAATAGACAAAAAGACTGAATAGGCTCTGACGAGAACCAGGACTCCAAAGGCCTCAGATGTGGACATAATTGATGGGTTCACCAGGACAGCATCCCCTTAATGAGTGTGCTCTGCCACGGTCCAGCCCTGACATTACCTCACTGAGGTTCTGAGTCCCACGAGCTGATGGGTGAGAGGCAGGACACCTCAACTGAGAGTCCCATCAAACTGCATTCCAGAGAAGGGGAAAGTATGGAGTTCCCCAAAGTGGAGTCCAAATACAGGGACTTAGATTGGAGTTTGGATCTGTTAGGTCAATCCAATGTAATTTTAAATTCTGATCGTATTACCCAATGCATTAAGTCTCCCTCTCTTGTCTAGAGTCTTTAGAAAACTTTGTCATCTGCCTTCTGTTTTCAAAAGTATCTTTGATTAAAATGTAGTAAAGAACTGACATAATTCCAGACCCAATGGCCCTTCAAAGACTTCAGGTAGGTTAATCTGTGCATCTGTCCCTCTTTGAATGAGATTGTACATTGGCTAATAATTGATGCATCTTTATTCTCTCTGTAAGAAAAATCTAAAGACTTTTTTCAAGACCCTCAGTGAAATCATTTCCCTTGATTTACCATTCTGGCAACCCTAACCTAAAGAAAATGGGGCCCGTTTAAAATGACTCCGAGAAAATTTTATTGACTCATAATGATTACCATTCTTCTATGTTTTATTAAAACAATCAATTGAATAATCCATCCTAAAATACTGCTGAGTGTTGATATGCCAGGGTTTTGCTCCATATTGATATATGCCACATTTATTTGTCTACAGATACAATAATTCATCTTCTTCATGCCTTTTGAAATACAGAAAACTTCTTGGTTCTCATAAGTCCTCTGGCATCTCTCTCTTTCTTCATAGTTTTTCAGATAGTATAAGTAGTGGATCTACAATTATATATATATTTTTTATTATTATTATTTCCTCTACCAATACATCAGCTCTGTGAAAAGATCCTGATGGCAAAATTGGTTCTGGGAAATGTTGCACACTCTGGCTCCCTTTTATATATACCAGCTCTAGGAATGGACCACCATGAAGAGAGAGCTCTTTAATCCAGCATTTTTTAGAGAAATTGCCTCAGAACCTTTTCAACAGTATATGGAATTAGTCTTCCAAGGAGCGTGTTTTTGGAAATCAGACTTATTCTGATATTCACTGAGCAAAAATATTGAGCTTGAATAGCCATGAGCTTTCTTGGCAACTTCTCATTAATGGCAAGCTTCAGTTCCCTTTTTTACATTTCAAGATTCTTCCCTTTGGTGAAAAGAATGGAAGAAGAGAGGCTGGTATTGTCCTACCTTCTGTCAACTGTTAAAATTAAACCATCTCCTCCACCCAGTGGTCCCTATTCTGTGCCTTTCCTGATCATATTCTTACTCTAACAATTTAAAAATAAGCCTTTTTAGGGCTTTTCACAAGCACTTGTTCTTTAGCAATGTGCTGAGAAGTTTATCTTGTGAGCTCAGACACTTAAATTCAAGCCTTTCCAGATCAGCTAAAGGTTACAGAGAAGGCAATGGCAAGGTAATTCCACTTAGATTTCCTTATCTGCGCTTGGATTTGACACAGAGTCAAGTCCAAGTCACTCAAGTAATTATTTCTCACATGAGTGCTTCCACTGACAATGTTGGTAAATTGTGTGTAGCGTCTGCCAACTAATTTTGTTCTCAAAAGGAGAAATCCTTTCTTCACAGCTTTTTCTTTCTTTCTTTCTCTTTCTTTCTTTCTTTCTTTCTTTCTTTCTTTCTTTCTTTCTTTCTTTCTCTCCTTTTTAATGATTTATACTATCAGTTGTATGAGGTCTGTAATCTTGTTGGTTATTTTGAACTTTATTACTACCTCCCTTTTTAAACATGCTGCTAACAATTCAAACAGTCTGTGTTATTGACTTATGTGTCTTTTCCTTACATATTTGGAATTTCCCACTTACATATCATCGTAGACATGCTTTTTATTTAAAAATTTATTTATTTAAAGATTTTATTTATTTATTTGACAGAGACACAGCAAGAGAGGGAACACAAGCAGGGGGAGTGGGGGAGGGAGAAGCAGGCTTCCCGCCAAGAAGGGAGCCCGATTCGGGGCCCGATCCCAGGACCCTGGGACCATGACCGGAGCTGAAGGCAGATGCCTAATGACTAAGCCACCCAGGCACCCCTTTATTTATTTATTTGAGAGAGAGAGAGAGAAAGAGAGCACATACAGGAGCAGGGGGTAGGGAGAGGGAGATGGAGACAAGCAGACTCCCCACTGAGCTGGGAGCCCTATGTGGGGCTCAATCCCAGGACCCTGAAGTCATGACCTGAGCCAAAATCAGGAGCCAGATGCTCAACAAACTGAGGCATCCAGGTGCCCCGACATGCTTTAAAAAAAAAAAAATAGGTCACCAATATCATAAACAGATACAGCTGTCTAGCTTCATACATAGTTTTTACCTCACAAAAAATAGTCTTTTCAAATCGGATGAATTAAGTCTCTGAAAGTAGTGATATATCAATTGCTGTATCATTGGTCTCTGACAAAGGTTCAAATCTGATCAGACCTCACTTTTATAGATTGCTTCGATGAATCGCTCAGTAACCTTATCTCTTTGCTCATTAGAACTTCTGTGGCAACTGCCATGCCAGTGTCCCCGGGCTGAAAAGCAACAAAGGAGAAGAAGCTGGTGCTGGTGAGCCTGGAAAGTATGATTCTATAGCCCAGAAGGTGAGGAGGCCGGCTGGATGTTGATGGCCCTGTAGCTTCCACCTAGTGCCTTCTCTCACTTCTTTACTGCTCTGTCCTCTAGGGTGATCCAGGCCCACGGGGTCCTCCAGGAATCCCAGGCAGGGAGGGACCAAAGGTAGGGCAGTTTCTCCTCCACTCTATGTGCTACTTCCAGTTCAGTGTGAAAAAACAAACCAATTTTAAAACACACTACTTTTTAAAAGAAATATGTTGGAAAAGTGTAAAAGCCATTTGCAAATGTCATTTTTTTTGTGCTCTGACTCTGTCCAAATTACGTCCCAAGCATACTAAGAAGAGATGTTTTTGTTGTTCTAAAAGATGACAAAACGATTCAGTATACTAGCTGAATTTCTTGTCTTTTTAGGGAAACAAAGGAGAGAGGGGCTACCCTGGGATACCTGGTGAGAAAGGTGATGAGGTAAGACTTTTCTCTGATAGTATAGTCCTGCTATTGACTCTCTTTGCAGAACTCAGAGGAAGGACTTCAACTTGTCTGTAGCTCATGTTTAATGCTAAATCAAATAAAAACAAAGATTTAGGTAGGTTGTTTCAAATGTCAACACAATTTAAATAATAATACATTTATGTTTATTAGCAGTGGTTCAGTTTTTGCGAGAAGGAAAATAAAGCACAGAGTTGACCCTCAGTTACTATGTTTTTGTTTTTATGTAGCAGATAGCAGTTCCAGCTCTCTCAAGATAAAAGCAAGGATTTACTGAAAAGAATCCTGAGGTAGCTAGTGGAATTGAAGGAATAGTTGAACAACCAGCCTAAGGACAAGGTACAGCTCCAAAACGCAGCAGAACTTCCCTGGGATGCTGCTGTAACATGATTCAACTTCAGTGACCTTGGTTTGTCTGTGTCTCTGCTCAACTTTCATACTCTTGGGAGAAAAAAAAAAAAAAAACCTATCATAAGGATCTGATTCAACTAGTGTAGATCAGCTACCCACCCCCAGACTAAGGCTCAAAGTCAAATGTACTTTTGAGACGATGGTATAATTTTCTGACTCTAAGCCATGGTGATGCTCAGGATATCATTCTTTTCCTGCATAATTTACCTTAACTCTTAGAAAAACCAATTAGGATGATGAATTGTTGTTAGTTTAAACAGTTTTGATGCTAATAATTCTTAATGAAAGTAAGTAAGCCATCTGGCATATATTAACCTTGATGTTAGTACTGAAAATCATAACAGTGTAAAGTAGATCCATTTTTTGAGTCAGAGTTATATTCCATGTTACAAATTATCACCATGTGTTATTGTTTTTAATATTGATTCTATTCTAGAAAACTGTGAGAATTAGCTTGCCTTTTGTCCAAATTAAAAATTAAAGAACAAAGAAATACAACATTTATTTTCATCCATAAATAAAGCAGTAAAGGCATTTTGTTTTCAAAATAAGAATTATTGAGCTTTTGCTTCTTCATGCTCCACAGGAAATTTCACTAATGTACAAAACCTATATCTGATTTTAATAGTCTAACAGCTTTTAACTGCCTGGATTCTAGGAGTGGGCTTTAGAGGCAATTGAGAAGGTAATAACAAAAAGATCAGGAAATAATTGGAATTCAGGTTTTTTATAAGTGACTCTAAGTTAAATTTATTAGAAGTTAATTTTGACTGAGTCTACAGGATACTTTGCTCTCTTGGTAAACTGAAATGCATTGTTATTATATTACTCCACTGTTTTAGTATGTTCTTTCTTAAGTATAGTAGACCCCCGTTACCTGTGGGGAATATGTTTTACGACCCCCCCAATAATGCCCAAAAACTGCAGAGAGTACCAAAACCTACACATGCTGTTTTTTTTCCTATACATACATATGATAAAGTTTAACTTATAAATTAGGCACAGTAAGAGATTAACAATAATAACTAATAGTAAATCAGAATAAATATAACAACATACTATAATAAAAGTTATGTGAATATGGTCTTTCCCTCCCTCTCTAATATCTTTTTGTACTGTAGTCATCCTTCTTCTTGTGATGATGTGAAATGATAAAATGCCTATATGATGTGGTGAAGTAAGGTGAGTGATGTAGGCATTTTGACATGGTGTTAGGCTGCTACTGACCTTCTGGAAATAAGTCAGAAGGAGGTTCATGTGTTTCCAAACAGCAACTGACCACAGGTAACTGAAACCATGGAAAGGCAAACTACTGTATACCTTTTGGATTCTTTAATGGAGAAGACACAAAATTTTGCACAAGAATCTTATTATATGGGGAATTATTATTATATTAATTATTATATGTAGCAATTTCAGAAGGAGATTCTTTTCATTTGTTTCTTCACATCACATGAATAATATGAATAAGCCTGAAATACCACACTAAATCAGTTGGGCCTTTTGGAAAGGATAGGGTGATGCAGGCTTTTCCTCTCAAACAGATAGGGAATAATGAATATCATCTACTTGGATAGACTCAATGAATAGTATCTATTTGGACTCAGATACTATGTGAAATTATAATTTATTGATTTGTTTAGGTGAATGAAACTTTGACCGAGGACGTGTGCATTTCCAAATGGCCAGTAAACTACCCTATATTAATATGCATATAATATCTAGTCATACAAAATCTCAAATATCTGTTCTACTCTTAGTGGAAAAGATACAGAGGGACACCTCATCTCTTTGAGGACTTCTAATTATTATGTCTTCATTTTAGTCTGTTTGGGAACTTAGAGGAGCTGCCTATTTGTTCATTGCTCCGAGAAAAATGAAATTATCCTCTATATTTTTTGCAGGTGTTTCACAAATCAAAGTAGCAACTTATAAGACACTAATAGAACACGCTCACCTCTCATAGAATGAAGTCTTGCTTGGAATGCAGATTTTCCTACAATATTTCAGGATAATAATTGATAAATAAGCCATGAAAAATATTGTCAACCATAAATTATAGCAATGGAAAAATAAATATTCTTGGTAGCAACTGAGCTAGGACTTGCAAAATCAAAATATCAGTTCAGAGAAAGAACTTAGCTCTAATGATCCTTGAATATCTATGCAATAAATTCTATTTTGTATTTTAGTTTGGCACTATATGCTAAATTGACTGTCCTACTCTTTAATATGTATTTGTCTTCCTTAATGACCATCTTGTCTTCTAAAATTATCTCCTTGCCCTTTATGCATCCATAGTAACTTTTACCCTTACTACAAAATTTCAGCTTGTTCAGAGAAAGACTGCTGAGAATGATTTTTTTTTATTTATGGACTAAGGTTTATTTTAAAGTTTAATGTGGTCATCAAAGGTTAATGAGTCCCAAGCTTATAAATTAAACTACCTAAAGACTCACTCAACATCTCTAGACTGATTCAGGAATGAGACTAAAAGTAGAAAAAAAAGAAAGAAAAAGAATACATATGTACACCCATATCTTATACATGTACATAGAGAGAGAATTTTATGGAAATGTGGGTATTTTGAGATAAAACAATTTGTGGTATGACATTTATAATCTCCAGACATTTAGAAGTGCCATTTCCAAAGGAAATTTGTTTCCTTTCTATTTATCAACCCATAAGAAAGTTAAGGGTGGGGAAGTGAAAAGAGACAATTCAACATGCACATGCACGCACACACACACACACACACACACAGCATTGCCAGCGAGGATGATATCATCTTGAAGAAAGAACATGTCCACATTCTTCAACACAAGCATACATAAGATTTTACCCAAAACTCTTATTTCATGAGGAATTTCATCATGTTCGAGGAGATTCTTTTCAGTGTTTCTTCACATCATGTCACATGAAAAAACCTGAAGTAACATATGATCCCATTTAGCATTAGATGGACAGGTCTGGCAGAGCTTGGTCCTTGATCACATTGATGCAAAGAACCTTGATCCGAGAGAACCTCGGTTCTATAGAATTCTCATAAATAAGTATGTAGTATTTTTACCATGGTCACTCCACCTAATATTTATAATGTGTCTAAAAATGCATATTTAATCACAGTAAAAGGCAAAGGAACTTTGTTGTAACAATTAATGGTTTGGTAATACGAAACATTACTCAATAAAGAAAATTAAAACCTGAAAGAGTGGAATCATTCAATCTAGACCTTGACACCTCATGTGGTTATCTGAAATAACAAAAGAGTATTTAAAAGTATATATTTCTAATTATAGAAATCATCTGAGTTTATTAAAGAAAATTTGGGAAATACACAAAAGCACTAAAAAGGTAAAAGTTATCCCTATTTTTTTTTAAGATTTTTATTTATTTATTTGAGACAGAGAGCATGAGAGGGAGGAGGGTCAGAGGGAGAAGCAGACTCCCCGCCAAGCAGGGAGCCCGATGCGGGACTCGATCCAGGGACTCCAGGATCATGACCTGAGCCGAAGGCAGTCGCTTAACCAACTGAGCCACCCAGGCGCCCAGTTATCCCTATTTGTACTGCTAAGGGAGGACTGTTGGTAATAGTAATATTATGATCCACACCCATCATCTATAATTCCAAAGCTCAGAAGCCTCTGAAAACCCTGGAAATTTTTCCTGAATTTGCGGGAAATCCTTTTGGCAGCAGAATCTGACCTGAAATCATATGGAGTCGGTCTATTTAACCCACTTGATAAGAATATCATGTTTTGCTACAGAAATATTTGTATATTTATTAGAGGGTGCTGCCCCAACGCCACTGGGAGTGTTATGTAATATCTAGTGTGAGCACTGTGTTATTTTTATTAAAAAAATCAGAAAATTCAGAATTCTGAAACACATCTGACACCAAAGTTTCCAGATGAGGTACTTTGAACCTCTATCATTCTCATCTTTTATGAAGTGCATTGAAAATTTTTAATAATTTAAACATTACTCTCTGTAACATTTTATAACTGTCATTTTTGTATGTTAGCCAATAGTTTGCTGAAACATGATTTTAATAGTTGCAAAATATTTTGTATTGTTTTATATAACTTATTTAACTAATATTCTGTTGACACACTTGGTAAAAGAACAAAATTAATTACACAAGGCACCGGTTAATCTTGCCAATTCTTCCTTGAATATATGAATATATCAGTATCTTAAACCTTATCCAGTATAATTAGCATTATTCTACAAATCCAAGAAGAAGGGGGAAGGGGTATTCATTCACTTTTATGCTTAAGCCATTAAAGGGTTCTAAATTTAAATTCGCTGATGAGCCAAATTTCTTCTTATAATGAACTGTTCAGCTAAACTAAATATTATATCATAAAACATATTCCATTTTCCCACTAGCTGAAGCATTAGTGTAATCATGGATTTCTTTGATGGCATTCTGCCAATTTGAAATTTGTATGTCCGTGCTTTAGCAAAGCCAGATTCTCAGTGATGCTATTGTTCATGGGGTGGCTCTGGAAGCTCAGAAACGCTCTATGAATCATCAAACACATTAAATTATGTTTGTTGCAGATTCCGTATCATGGCATTTTAGCTCATCATCCTTACTCTTTGAAAATGGGCATTTGTATATTATAT